TAATACATTTTACAGCTATGTCTGCCAGCCCCACTTTAAAGGCACTGGTAATCAACTCAATACACTCTTTGTTTTTTAAGGTCTTGTACTGTCAATCCAATATTCACTTTTATTTAGCTCCGTTTTCATCTCCACCAAATTTAGCAGTTGCACCTTACCCTCACCATGGCTTATTTAATATGCGCCCGCCATTCGATCTAATGCTGTTTGGCTTTGTTTAACAACGTTGCCAATGACAACACAACTCGGTGTGTGCTATGAGACAGGATGTGGCAGTGTTGATTCCTGTTACAGTGTTAGTTACCGCGGGTCGAGGAGCGGCACTGTAGACAGAAGCTCAACACCACAGCTCCGTTAGCGCATGTGTGTGTGTGTGGGTGAGACTGTTGCGTGACGAGGCCTGAGTGTGACCGCGGAGAGAACCACACCATGTTCTGTAGGGGAGGAGGTCATGGAGACACAACTGCTACTGGATACTGTGAATAAGTTAGAATCCCAATCAGGGAAATACATTCTGGTCACTATCAGCTTCATTTGAACATGGATGTTCATTCTTTCCCCACCAATCTGTTTATTGATTTTTTACAGTTGTTCAGCAGTCAGTATAGAACAAACAGTACAAAACATAACATACGCTCATGCCCTCACCCCTCACCCAGCTCAGCTCATGAACAGGGCTGCACAATTAATCCAAATCACAATATGCCAAGTGCAATATGCAAATCACACGACTCTGCAGTTTTTTGATAAAGGTAAAATGTGTGACACCAGCATTATAATTAACTATAATTAATAAGTACTGCAGTTCTGCAGAGATGTCCTGTCCTACAAACCTTGTTCTCCAGATTTAAAAACAACATGTTTGTTTGGTACTTAAAAACCCCCAAACAATTCACATTATCATATATATATATAAAAATGATCGAACTGGAACAATAATGTGTGTCTGTTTTTTGTATACATGTCTTCATACGAGTCTGGAGGGGATCTGTAATGTTTTTTAACATACAAAAGAAAACTATGTTCTGAGGCTGAGTCCTTGCTGCAGCGGTCCAGGGTTTGAATCC